CTCTTTCTTTCTCTTTCTCTCTCTTTCTCGCTACCTTTCTCACCTCCCTCCCTATCACCTTCTCCCCCCCCCCCTCTCTCCCTCTCAACCCCTTTCTCTCCTATGTTGCTGCTCACATAAAGGTTATGGATGTAACGCTGATGCATCTCCAGTGTCCCTACATCAAACAGTGGACACCCCGGAGCAGTCCTTACAGTCGGAAAGTGCGACTGATTCACAATGGAAATGGATTCCGGACGTGGCGTTACAACTGTGGTATTGTATCTCGTCGCAGCTGCTTGTGTGTGTGTGTATGTTTTTTTTGTGTGTGTTCTCGGGGTGTTTATTTACTTATTGCTTCGGATTTATTTTTATTGCACTTTGTATCCCTTTTTTTTTTTTTTTTTTTTTAGTTGGTTTGACTGGCTTAATTGTTTTATTATGGATGTTTTCTCTCCGCTCATACTTTTCCACCTTCACCCAAAGCCAAGTTGTTTTCGCGAGTGTTAGTCGTCGTTGTTTTTCAGGGCTAATGCTGTGCGTGGGTGTGCTGCGCTATGTGCGTCCGTGCTGCAGTAGCCTGACGGAAAAAGTGTCTTGTGCTTGTTTCATCTGTTTATTACCCCCCCCCCCCCCTTCTTTATTTCTTCCATTTTTCTTCACGTTTGTCTACTTTGCCTTCTCTTTTGTAACCAACCTTCTCTTACTTCTTCTTCCTCTTATTCTCTTCCTCCTCTTCATTATTTTCCCTCTACTTCTTGTTTCCATCTTCATTTACTTTTATCATTTACTCTTACTTTATCATCAATGCCAACTCTCTTCGTTGATCAACTAATTCATTTATTATCCAACATACATTCCCATTATAACACCAACATCCGGAGAGCTCTGATTTCGCGCGGGTAGTTGGCTTAGTGGGTGGGCGGCCAGGGAATGAAAAACCCACGTGAATGTACTGCCACAAGCTCAGCTGCTCCGTCAAGGGTCCGGCCGATAGCATTGCAACACGCCATCCGTGCAGAGCGGGTGGCGATGGCCGTCCTCCTGACAAGGGCTGATATGCGTTATCAGTCAACACGCCGACCTGCCGATAACTGCTCCAGTCAAGGATTACCCCTCCCCCTCCCCCACCCTGCCCCCCTCCCGTGATGAACTTGTTGCTTGTTCCTGGTTTGTTATTGAAAGCAAGAGGTGCTACCTGTATTTACCTCTGCCTCTTGTACCTATGCTGTGTATTTATATCCGGTCGTCTATCTGTTTGTTCATCTATCTATATCTACTGTCTGTCTATCTATCTATCCATCTATATGTCTGTGGTGTGCGTGTCAATGCGCGTATGTGTAGGTGTGTTGCGTGGGTGCGAGTGTATTTTGAACTTTTTTTCACACCGTTATCAGGCTTATCAGTGAGAGTCTTAAAGGGGATTTTCAGGTCTGAATCATGTGTATTCATGGAGATTACCCCGCATTCGTTCATTATTATTGTTGCTTTTGTTTTCTTTTCATCATTCTTGGTGTTTGTTGCTCTCAAGATGAATATAACACTGATTATGGATCATGGTGTTTGATTATTATTCTCACTGTTATTACTGTTTTTGTAATTATAATGTCAATTATGATTTTGGTTTGGCGAGGGAGGCCTAATCAAGAAAGCGAGAGGCTGATTGACACGACGCGTCTCCCCCTCCCCCTCCCCCCCCATCACTGCCTGGGTATCAGTCCGCCCATTTGTTCTGGCCGTCAGCGTGTTGCTTGGAGAATCTACTTTGCTTTCCTTTTGTTTGGCTTTTCATTCCATCTTATTCTATTAAGTAAAATATATATTTGATTACTTTTAAGTTTCCTTAATTATGTGTTTAATTGTATATTTGTTTGTTTTGACCCTTTATGCTAACCCCACTTCTTCCAGTTTAGTTATTTCCATTGCCGTTTATATATATATATGTGTGTGTGTGTGTGTGTGTGTGTGTGTGTGTGTGTGTGTGTGTGTGTGCGTGTGCGTGTGCGTGTGCGTGTGTGTGTGTGTGTGTGTGTGTGTGCGTGTGCGTGTGCGTGTGCGTGTGCGTGTGTGTGTGCGTGTGCGTGTGCGTGTGCGTGTGTGTGTGTGTGTGTGTGTGTGTGTGTGTGTGTGTGTGTGTACATATGAATATATATGTATATATGAATATGAATACATATGTATATATGAATGTGAATATATGTGTATATGAATATGTGAATATATGTGCATCTATGAATATATATATATATGTATATATGAATGTATATGTATGTGTACATGTATATGTATGTGTACATGTATATGCATGTGTACATATGTATGTATGTGTACATATGTATGTACGTGTACATATATGTGTGTGTATGTGTATATATGTATATGTATAAATATATGTGTGTGTATATATGAATGTCTATGTATATGTATATATAAATATATATGTCTATGTATATGTATATATAAATGTATATGTATGTATATGTATGTATGTGTCTATATATATATATATATATATATATATATATATATATATATATATATATATATATATATATATATATATATATATATATATATATATAGCCGAAGATAAGAGGCCATTAGTCACACTCTCAAGCCTGTCTTCCTGTTATGAAGTGTGTTCTCAAGGAGGTTCGGCGTTATCTGCGTGATGTGTTGATACTCATAACACGGGCAGTGCGTCTTCGGTTTAGGTTGCAATATTTCACTCTGCCAATGGTTGTTATGGCCTTGCACAACGCTAATGTGGGGTTTCGATGACGCCCACGTGGAATGATTTAACGTATCATGCAGAGAGGTTGGCGTGGGTGGTTATATCTCTCTCTCTCTCTCTCTCTCTCTCTCTCTCTCTCTCTCTCTCTCTCTCTCTCTCTCTCTCTCTCTCTCTCTCTCTCTCTCTCTCTCTCTCTCTCTCTCTCCCCCTCTCTCTCTCTCTCGCGTGTGTTTGCATGTTTGTTTTTTGTGCAAATTAAAGTCGAGGATTGTAATTGTGGAACAAATGGATTGAACAGTTTTTGTCGAGCACATCATTGTACTGGCTATATTAGTTAGTTTTAAATAAAGCTAAGAAGAGGAAGTAAGGACGAAAAATCATGTTTGTGATATTTGTTTTTTGTTTGCTATTCATTAAAATGACCTGTTGATTTTTATTCGTAGTTATATGCAATTATTGTTATTATTATTATTTCCCTGTGTATTTTATGTGTGGTTAGTTGATATCACGGGGATTCAAATGTTTCATTGAATAACGAAAAAAAAACGATGTTATTGATTATATGTCGATCCTAAACGCTTGTTTGAATTTATTTACGTTGCGTCCTCAGCAGCCTTACATTCTGAAAATAAATCAGATGTCTTCATTATCATGTAGAATAATACCATTCTCAAACCCTCCTAATTCGCTGCCAATTTTCTTTGTGTGAAATGTTTAGAATTATTATAGCATAGAGAAGCGACGGTCACGCTAATCCATTCCGTTTTTTTATTTTGTTTGTCATTCCACATCTTAGTAAGTGGGCGTGACGCCATGTCATGTTTTGTCGCGGTGACTTTATTCCACAGTAACAACCGGAAACAATAAAGAAGAATAGCGTCTTGTCACGCTCCAGGGAACCGTCACACCCAATGTTACCGCAGTCATTATCTCACTTACCGACATCATTACCACAGTCGAAACCGCATCGGCGCATCCTCTTACGCCATCATTACCATCGTTATTACTACTGTATCGCTAGTACATGTCATCAGCATCACTATCATCATGAATCTCATCTGCATCACTATACTATTATTTTCACTCTCAACAATAGCAATCACCCTGGGCATGTCACTAGGGCCATGGTGAGGATGGGCATGGCACTAGGGCCCAGGGTGAGGATGGGTATGGTACTAGGGCCCAGGGTGAGGATGGGTATGGTACTAGGGCCCAGGGTGAGGATGGGCATGGCACTAAGGCCCAGGGTAAGGATGGGCATGGCACTTAGGCCCAGGGTGAGGATGGGCATTGCACTAGGGCCCAGGGTGAGGATGGAGTTAGCATTAGGGTCCAGGGTGAGGATGGGTATGACACTAGGGCTCAGGGTAAGGATGGGCATGGCACTAAAGCCCAGGGTGAGGATGGGCATGGCACTAAGGCCCAGGGTGAGGATGGGCATGGCACTAGGGCCCAGGGTGAGGATGAGCATGGCACTAAGGCCCAGGGTTAGGATGGGCATGGCACTAGGGCCCAGGGTGAGGATGGGCATGGCACTAGGGCCCAGGGTGAGAGTGGAGTTAGCATTAGGGCACTGGGTGAGGATGGGTATGGCACTAGTGCCCAGGGAGAGGATGGGTATGGCACTAGTGCCCAGGGAGAGGATGGGTATGGCACTAGTGCCCAGGGAGAGGATGTGTGAAAAGCGTGCCCCCCCCCCCCCCCCCCCCCCCCTCACACACCTCCAGCGAACGGGAATTCGACGACATGCCGAGATAGATGATCGGTTAGTTGCCGTAAACGTGCGGATGCCAAGAAGCGGAGGAGGGCGGGGGAGTGGGCAGGGGGCAGGTCTTGTCAGCAGTGCCAAGAGGATCATTGAAGGTGCCACGTTAATTAGCCCGCAGTGGAAAGGGCCGGATCAGGGATCTCCGGCTGAGGATTACATCTGACGGGTGTGACGTCATTCGTGCAGTGTGCTGAATGTTCGTTCATTGGCTCCATTTGATAAAATATCATCCATGGATATAGGTCATTCCAGGACAGGGGGTGACGTAAGCAAGCCCTAATAACACTAAGGAAAAGGGGGAGACGAGGATGCGGTTGTTTACCCCTGACGTCACGATCGCGGGCTGGTTTGTTTATAGGTCGGGGTGGGAAGGGAACCCGAGACGCCGCCGCCGCCCAGGACTCTGTGATTGCCACGCCCGGGAGGACTCGGGCCGGAGGATATGGGCTCGGGTTGCCGCTCCTCCGCGCTCCTGCTTCTGCCTAATCTGGTGGGGCAGCTTGCGGATCTCCCGTTCAT